CCCCCCAAAGCCCCAGTGGGTAGTTGTATGTCGTAGCTGCACATCCTTCTAGTTGCTGTATGTGGGACTCGGCCTCAGGATGAACGGAGAAGTGGTGCCTTGATGCGCACCCGGGATCCGAACCCGGGCCACCAGCATCGCAGCACTTAACCACCAAGCCACAGGGCCGGCCCAGCCCTATGGTTTTATTTTTATCTGTTTTTCTCTCTTCTTCAGAATTGATGATCTCTTTCAAAAGAGTAAGCAGTTTTTGTAGCAGATTTTACAACTCACTTAACCATTTGTAGGCTTCCATCTGTTGTGGCTGGTGGGAGTTATGGGAGGTCTCCAGCCACTGGTTTCTTTCTCATGCAAACAGAAGCTCCCTGAGGCAGGTTGGGGCTGGTGCCTGCCCTCCAGGCACAGGGATGTGGCTCTAGTGTTTGGTTTTGCGAGAAACCTTTGGCCACCCCAATTTTTTTCCTTTGTAGTTAATCTGATTATTTTCCTAGGTGCTTGTGGATTCCCTTCTTTATCTTTCAAGTTTGGAGTCTATTGTGACATCTATGATCTATTAATCGTCTTTCCATGTTATCTTTGTTCTTTTCCTCTGTTCCTGTAAACATCCTTGGGCAATTTTATTTCAACATCCGGATTTTTTCTTAGTCTAATCCACAATTTACTGCCTTATTTTTCCTTTTTTTTTTTTTGTAAAAACAAACAAACAGCTTTATTGAGATATAAATCATATACCATACAGTTCCCCTAAGGCATGCAAGGCAGTGGTTTTTAATGTATTCACAGGGTTGTGCAATCATCACCACAGTCAATTTTAGAACACTTCATTACTTAAAAAGCAACCCTGTACCCCTCGGCAATCGCTCCCCATTTCCTTCCAACCCCTCCCCCAGCCTTAGGCTACCACTAATCTATTTTATGTCTCTATAGATTGTCCTATTTTGAACATTTTATATAAATGGAATTGTATGATATGTGGTCTTTTGTGAGTGGCTTTTTTCACTTAGTGTGTTTGTGTGTGTGTGTGTGTGTGTGAGGAGATCAGCCCTGTGCTAACATCTGCCAATACTCCTCTTTTTTTGCTGAGGAAGATTGGCCCTGGGCTAACATCTGTGCCCATCTTCCTCCACTTTATATGGGATGCCGCCACAGCATGGCTTGCCAAGCAGTGCGTTGGTGCGCGCCTGGGATCTGAACCGGCAAACCCCGGGCCGCCGCAGCGGAGCGCGCACACTTGACCGCTTGCGCCACCGGGCCGGCCCCATCGCTTAGTGTGTTTTCAAGGTTCATCTCTGTGGTAGCATGTATCAGTACTTCATTTCTTTATATTGCCAAGTAATATTCTGTTGTATAGATATACCACATATTATTTATGCATTCATCAGTTGATGGGCATTTGGGTAGTTTCCATTTTTTGGCTTTGGGAATAATGCTGCTGTGAACATTCACACGCAAGTTTTTGTGTGGACGTGTTTTTATTTCTCTGGGGTATATACCTAGGAGTGGAATTGCTAGGTCGTATGGACACTTTATGTTTAACCTTTTGAGGAACTGCCAGAGTGTTTCCACAGTATATTCCAAAGTACATTCCCACCAGCAGTATATGAGAGTTCTGATTTCTCCACATCCTCGCTAACCACCTGTTGTGGTTGTATGTTATCTTTTTTTTTGCTGAGGAAGATTTGCCCTGTGCTAACATCTGTTGCCAATCTTCCCCCTTTTTTTTTTGTACGTGAGCCGCTGCCACAGCATGGCCACCGACAGACAAGTGGTGTAGGTCCACGCCCGGGAACCGAACCCGGGCCACTGAAGCAGAGTGTGCCGAACTTAACCACTAGGCCACCAGGGCTGGCCCTTATTATCTGTCTTTTTGATTATAACCACACAGCACTAGAACACAATTCAGCCAAGTTCTCTGCCATTTTATAGCAAAGATTGCCTTTTCTCTAGTGTCCAATAACATGCACTTCATTTCCTTCTGAGGCCTCACCAGAAGTACCTTTAATAATCATATTTCTAGCAACAGTCTGTTCACAATGATGTATGTGTTCTCTAAGATGATAGAAGCTCTCTCCACTGTGCTTCACTTCCTTCTGTGCCTTCCCCAGAATCACTTTTTTTTTTTTTTGTGAGGAAGATCAGCCCTGAGCTAACATCCATG